GTGCAATAAACTGAAACAGTCGCTATTTTTCTCTAATTGTAAGCCATATTCTTTAAATAATCGCCATCATTCGCTCACTCAGTAAGTAGCAATATACGATGTATACAAGCAGCATAATTAGCAGGCTTGGAAAAACACTTATTATCAACTGGCGTAGAACAGTTCAGCGTTGAGTTGTTCCACAAATTCTATTCTTAATAAAGTCCACATGACGAATCCTTCCAAACAATCACCAAAACACTCAAAGAGCACTACAGAATGATCGATCACTGAAGTAATCAGCCGGGTAATACCTTCAGAATGACGTTCTTCAAATATTCACTATTCGCCATATGATCTTTGCGTTGTTCGTTCCGTTCCAAACGTCTGATTTCCTCTTTCAGCAGTTTACTTTGTTCACTCAATCGAACGTTGCTTGCTTCACATTCGTTCAACAGCTCACGAGTATGCTCTAACTTAAATTTTTATTTTTTTACGCATCAGAAGAACATTTCAAGGAAATATCTATGAGATAAACTCAATCCAAATGAGTCGATATATTAGCTTGCAAGTCAGAACNGATATATTAGCTTGCAAGTCAGAACGTTCGACTGTTATTTTTCAAACAAACATATCTAATTCTTCAAATGATCATTGTCATTAACATAAGCAACGTTAACATCGTTTCCAATATTCCATCTGGGAACGAGGACACCAGAGACGTTGTAATGAACTCTACTCAATTGTAATAAATCTGTATCGCAAAACAACTTCAACCGACACGAACTCCGATGAATGATAAACATCCAATGATATTTATGAAAACAGATCAGTGTATAAGTTATCATACGGAATGTAATATGCTAAAACAGATGAAACAAATGAAAAAATATTCAACAATCACCCGAATCAATTGATCTTAACAAGTAATAAAGCACGAACCTGTTTATGAGTGTTCAAGGCGATTTGTTCCCAATCCTTGACATTCTCATCGCCCGCATTCGATTGCCATTCATCATGAATCACGGTTAGCATTGTATCCGAATCATCTGCATTTAGCACGTCTTCTAGCGTTCGTTCCACTCCAGTTTCAGCCGCCTCAATACTGTTTCGATTCGCATGCGTTGTTTCGTCGACGCTTGACTTTGGTCGTTGCAGAAACGAACTTTAAAAAACTTATTTGTTTAATCCATATTCAAAATTCAATGTTTATTATTCAATATTCAGTTGTCTATCC